TTGATATCTGTGCAGACTTTTTTTATACGAAGGTAACATTGCTCCACCTCCTTTTCCTAAGGATATATTTATAGAACTCATGATACTATGTACTAGTTCGGTGGAGTTCAGTTTTGACAATATTATGTATAGTCAAGTGGATGGGGTCCAGATGGGCAGTCCCCTTGGCCCTGCATTGGCTGATATTTTTGTGGGCTACCATGAAATGTTACTTTTCGGCAAAGTGTCTAAACCATTTGTTTACGTTAGATATGTCGATGACACCTTTGCAACATTCTCTAATAAAAGTGAGGCTGTTGAGTTCTTTAATGAGCTCAACTCCTTACACAATGGTTTGTCTTTCACTATGGAAGGGGAGAAAGACAACTATCTGCCTTTTTTGAACGTTTTTGTTGAACGCAGTAGAGGTGGTTTTATTACTAGCATCTATCGTAAACCCACCTTTACTGGACTTTATTTGAATTGGCGTTCATTTGCTCCTGCATCAAGGAAAATTAATCTCGTTAAAACCTTGGTGTATAGAGCGCTTAAAGTGTGTTCCCCTATTAGATTGGACCGTGAATTTGGGAACATTAGGGAGATTTTCCTAGTAACGGCTATCCGGAGGCCCTTATTGACTACATTATAAGTAAGAAAACTAAGGAATTTCATTCCCCAAAATCCAGGGGCCTTCTAAATGTCCGGTTTATTTGAAGATTCCCTGGATTGGGGATAGTGGTCAGGGCTTAATTAGGCAGGTTAGCAAGTTGGTTCCCGGTTGTTTCCCATCAGTTGCTTTACGTAGCATTTTTCAAACTAGGTCTGCGTTTCCGTCTTTTCGCAAGTATGTATTGCCCTACATCAAATTGAGTAATTTAGTATATGAATTTAATTGCCAGTGTGCTGCTGGTTATGTGGGGCGTACAACCTTGCATTTGGAAACTAGAATTAATCAGCATGTTTTCTTCAAAATACGACTTGGTAAGATAGATAGAATATGCTATCTTCCCCCATGAATATGGAATCGGCTATTGCTCAACATTTAGTTGAGAATATAGCTTGTGCCAAGTTGTATAAAAAGAGTGGTTTAGAATTATTCATACAGCCGATTCCAATAATCATTTGAAGATTTTGGAATCGGTCTGTATAGGATTTAGAAAACCTTCTCTCTGCCGGCAGAAAAATTTATAAGGTCTCTGAATATGTTGGGGGATATTTTATTTTAACTGTCCCTCGCTATTTATTTACACGATAACCCTTCCCTCGTTACAAGTATATATACTTGTTCGTTATTTTAGTGTGTTTCTCCTCTTTTTTTGCTCATCAATATCGCTATTATTCATTTCCTTCTAATCCAACGATTGTCTCCCCTGATGAGATGTTGGCTGAAAGGGCTCTAGAGACTTTTAATATTAAAATCAATGGTTTCCTAGTTTTTAAAACTATATATATATATATATATATATATATATATATATATATATATAGAGAGAGAGAGAGAGAGAGAGAGAGAGAGAGAGAGATAGATAAGTTGGTTAATAAACTAAGGCAAAGGAAAGGTTACCAATGTGATCAGCACGAAAAACATTCTTATCATATATATATATATTAAGAAATGGACAAAGTCCGACAATTTATTTATTAAAGACATTTTTATGTTTAACGTTCTTTTTTATAGATACAAGTATTTAAGTAAATGCTGTGTTTATAATAAACAGTATTAAATAACATTTACCGGCCTGAATGTCCGAGAAATTTTCATAGAAAATCCTGTCAAAGAACGAATATTTTCTATGAAAATTTCTCGGACATTCAGGCCGGTAAATGTTATTTAATACTGTTTATTATATATATGTAAATATAAATATAAAAGTGAACACTGAATTCAACACTCAGAGGCGGCAGGCTGTTTCGTGCTTGGGGCAATCGTCAGGCCGCATGACGATTGCGCTTAGCATGAAACAGCCTGTAGCATCTGAGTTGATTCAATGTTTACTTTTACATATATATATATATATATATATATATATAGCATTATCACATTACGAGCACTATTACGTTTACACTTCAGTGTGTGTGTGTGTGTGTGTGTGTGTGTGTGTATATTTCAGATTGAGTGTATCTATAACAGAACAAAATGTAAAAAGGTAGAAAGAAAACTTATCCGACTCATTTCGTTCTCTGAGTGACTTTATCACTATTTGAACATTTTTCATTGAATAAGCGGTTGGGACAATTAAAATTATGCAGAACTTTTATATTCCTTAACTCCTACAAAATGGAAAATTGTTAGGATGTTGCAAAAGCTTAATAATATATCAATTTAATTCGGTGGTATTTAATGAAAGATTTTTGAATGAAAGGTTACTGCCAAAGTAAACATTAATTAAATACATGTGTATATATCTCTGTGTGCGTGCACTTATATATATATATATATATATATATATATATATATATATATATATATATATGTATGTGTGTGTGTGTGTGTGTGTGCATGTGTGTCTGTCTGTATGTGAATATATATGTGATGAGGTGTGTGTTTATATATACGTGTGTCAGTGTCTGCATGTGTATGAGTTCTTTTTAGGTAATATATATGTATATATTCGTGTTCGTCATTATATACACCTACCACTATTCTTGTTAACATAAGTGGGCATTATATTTCGTGTATGTGTTTGTGTGTGTGTTTATGTGTGAGTTCAAGTTTCTGTTTTTTTTAACTTTTTACATTCCAAACCGTTTTTTTGCTCGTCTTTTACCTAACCTTTAATGAATTAAAAATGTTGCCCAAATACATCCAACACACACACACACACACACACACACACACACACACACACATATATATATATATATATATATATATATATATATATATTTGTGTGTGTGTGTATGTGTGTCTCTGTGTGTGTGCGTGTGACCAGTGACACTGTTAAGCTGTGAAACAGTCTGTCTGTGGATGACGATATAATGCTCTCGAAAATTAATTCGGTTGAGCTCACTTGGGAGAAAGCGCAATTTGGGAATAATGACTACTACTGCTGCTAATGCATGACTCTTCGAACGAATTGTGTTCTCTCGGCCACTGGTGTGTTTGTTTAAAATAAATACGCTAAAATTTACTTTCCACTCTACCGTGCGCCAATAGCTTAGAGGGAGATTCTCTGATGCCAAATCAACTGGGTTTCGATCCCGGCTTGAAGCAATCGGACGTCTAGCCACACTGATGAGCTGTGATACAGCGAAACAGTCTGTCTGTGGAACGCGATATATATATATATATATATATAGTGTGTGTGTGTGTGTCAACTACATCCCTTTCGGAAGGAATTATTTTAGCAATGTAACTTCCAGGTATCTGTTTTCATTACCTTTGCGTTCATATGCGCATTCCAAACAATCTCATCTCCATATTATTACATCTAAGAATGGCCACCCATCCGCCCAATTTTACTTAATACTATGCGTCTGTTCACGCATTCCTATACGCATGTGTATGCTAACATAGATATTGTAAATAAATTCAGTACAAGAAGAAAAAGATAAAGGATTGGCCGGGTTTCACGAAAAAAGGGAACATTGGATATCAAAGCGCCTTGCTTCCGGTGTAGGATGGCGAGTGTTAGCATACGAAAACGAGGCTCGCTGTATATATTTGTGGGCTATAAATTGAATTAAGCAATATCTGTCAACGACAACTTCGCCTTGCAAATGCAATTTGAATTCATCGTTACTAACTTTAGTTTTATTTTGTATCTTTTCTTCATTCCGTACGTGCATGACACTATTTTCTGCATTTTTATTGCCATCTTTTGCTACTGTTTCGTCATCTTTTAAAGGAAAAGGCGACGTCACTATTTTTGTTTTGAAGGATTTATTGCTTATTTTTCAAATATCTTGTCAGTATGGTCTTCAGTAAGCTTCTACGAGAAGTACTGAAAAGTTCTCAGCCTGGAACATATTCCATAATCAGTATTCAGATGTGTTTTGATTAAAATACTGTTTCAGTGACGTGTTGAGCACGCAACTTTTAGACATAGCGCTAATACTTTTTTATACATCGCATCCATTTTGAATCCCTGAATTTTTCCATCCGTTCTTTCCTTCTTATTCATTTTCTTTATTTATCCATGCATCCATCGTTTCTTTCTTTCTTTCTTTCTTTCTTTCTTTCTTTCTTTCTTTCTTTCTTTCTTTAACCATCCACCCATTGATCTATCCATCCTTTCATTATTTTCTCCGTCTATCCATATATCCTTTCTTTCATTGTTTCATTTTTTCGTTCTTTTATTCATTCAAACATCCATCCAATCATCATTCATTTAAAAATTTCTTTCTTTCTTTCTTTCTTTCTTTCTTTCTTTCTTTCTTTCTTTCTTTCTTTTATGCATCTATCCATCTTTCTTTCTGTCTTTTTTTCTTTTATGCATCCATTTATCTATACTTCTTTCTTCCTGTCTTTCTTTCTTTATTTATTTATGTATCCCTCTATCCACCCATCCATCATCCGGCCTTTCTTTCTTTCTTTCTTTCTTTCTTTCTTTCTTTCTTTCTTTCTTTCTTTCTTTCATCCATCCATCTATCCATCCCTGTTTGATTCTTTCTTTCATCCATCCATCCATCCATCCATCTTTTATTTTTTTTCTTTCTTTCATCTTCCATCCCTCCATCTATCCCTCCATCTTTTTCATTAATCCTTTCTTCCATCCTTCTTTCGTTCTTTTATCCATCCATCCATCCATCCATTCGAACATCTGTCTTTAACATCCATCCATTCTTTCTTTCTTTCTTTCTTTCTTTCTTTCTTTCTTTCTTTTATACATCCAAACATCTTTTTGTTTCATTCTTTTTTCTCTTCCTCCTTTTTTTCATTTATCCACCCATCCATCCAACCGACCATCTATCAATAACATCCATCCATCCTTTCTTTCTTTCTTTCTTTCTTTCTTTCTTTCTTTCTTTCTTTCTTTCTTTCTTTCTTTTATGCATCTCTCCATCCATACGCGAAATCTATGTCTTTCTTTCCTTTCTTTCTTTCCTTCTTTCTTTTAGCCACCCATCCATCCAACAGACCATCTATCTATAACATCCATTCTTTCTTTCTTTCTTTCTTTCTTTCTTTCTTTCTTTCTTTCTTTCTTTTATCCATCCACCCGTCCGTCATTTCTTTATTTCTTTCTTTCGTCTGTTATACATCCATCCATCTTTTTCTTTCATCGTTTCTACGTTTCTTTCTTCCTTTCTTTTATTCACCCATCAATCCAATCGACCATTTATCTATAACACCCATCAGAGCATTCATTCATTCATTCATTCATTCTTTGTTTCTTTCTTTTATGCATCCATCCATCCATTCATCCATCCATCCATCTTTTTCTTTCATCATTCTTTCTTTCTTTCTTTCTTTCTTTGTTTTATCCACCTATCTAGCCATCATTTCTTTATTTCTTTCATTCGTCTTTTATACATCCATCCATCCATACATCGTCCATCTTTTCTTTCTCCTTTCTTCCTTCCCTTCCATCTTTCTTTTGTCCACCCACCCATACAACAACCATCTATCTATAACGCCGATCCTTTCTTTCTTTCTTTCCAGACGTATAACGAAAAAACAGGAAAAAATGTTCAAAAAGCTCGTTTTTTTCCGGCCATAACACCCTGGTTTTTTATGCTTTCCGAATTTGCCATGTGAATTACATATGACACACAAATTGTCTTGCGTAAATGTTTGGTTTAGATTATTTCAATCATGTGGACGAAATCTTCGACAAACGAGGTCTCAAATCGGCTTTTGCCATTTAACCAATTGATTTTTCATATGATTCCATCCTAAATTGTCATTGGAACAACCTTTGCAAATATTGTTTCAGAAGGTAATACTGAAGCGTTAAAAGGTATAAAATATTTCCGAAGAACCTTGTATTAACCCCATCTTTAGAGTAAACGTGCGAAGGAGAGACGTTTATGCGTTTCATCACTATTTTTGTTTGATTATTAGTTTTGTGAACAATGCCATACTAGTTGAAAGTGATTACGGCAATAGGAAATTTTATGAATATCTAAAACATTGAAACAAATTAACCTTGAGCAACGACCATGCAATAAGGTTTTATCGATAGAATTTCTTTATTAAGAAAAATCAAACCCTTGCAAAGGATATACCATAAAAATATGGGGTAAGTGGTAGCAGCTTAGTATACCAGTGGATAATACCTGCAAGCGGGGACGCAGGCAGATATTTGTAGAAAGGAAAGTACGGTTATACAATTACAGCCATTTGTACCCAGGCAACGTCGGGTATGTCGGGTAGTAACGTATAAAATATAAGTATAATTCTATTAGAATTTTTATTGCTCTTTCATGTTGAGAATAAATATTGCATTCCTTGTTTGAATGTCTTTTACAGAACCTCACCGTTCTTCTATTTCTGACCTTTTTTTTTAATTTTTTTCTCTTCTATTGATCTTTTTTCTTCTTTTCTGTTCACAACTTTTTCGAATCGCAATTCTTCTTCTTCTTGTCTTATTATTTTTACTCGCAGCTTCTTACCTACATCCGGGTTCTTTACTTTTTCTTCTTACACTGCCTCCCCTTTCCTCTGCTATCTCTTCCTCCACCTTCTCCTTCTTCTCAAAATATCTCCTCATAACTTCTTATCTAGTCATAGTTTCTTCATTATTCTCCCTCTGATGTCTCCTCTCCATCCCCATTTTCTTTTCTACCCATGGGCTCTTCTTCTTTTCTTCATCTTCCTCCACTCTCCTCCTCTTCCTCTCTCTTCTTTTTCTCAAATGTATATTCGTATTTCCATAACCGTAATCACTTTAACCCTTCTACCCATCTAATTTTCTTACAAATGTATTTATTTCATTTTTACAACTTATTAATAACTGTTGTTTGTTAAGATAAAGGAGGTAAACAACAGGCACTTCCTTTTTTTTCAGCAGGAGTAATAAACAGTGATAACAATAAGAAAATATTATTATGACAGAAAAGATTAAGGAAAACTGTACAACACAACAGAAAGAAGACGAAGAAAAAAAAAACATTATTGAATAGGTGACAAAAACAATCTCCATACGGGTTGCTAATATTATCTGTTCACGAAATTGTAATTATTTCAGTCTCTTTGTTCTATTAGTTACAGACGTTTTAGTATTCTATAACTCCAGAGTAATTTTGTGCTGAGATGGAAGTTACTTAATATATCTTACGCACGGAAAAGAAATTAGATCTGCGGCCATTAATTCCAGTAGGCGTTAAATGATATTAAAAAACGTTACGGAAACATTTATTTTCTTTCTGACTGGTTTACTTGTATATTGCAACAATATTATTGATATTTAACTGTTAAGGCTTTTTATTCCCTGTCTCTTCAGGGCGTAGACGATCATGGCTTTTATCATATCCTCTCTATTTATCAACCGTGAAGTGTTATAACGTTTTGGGCAAATATAGTGGGTAAGGGGTTCTAATTTCCCACAGTTTTACCTTCAAATTTTCCTTCAATTTGACTGGTTGCCATCGAAGCTTAGAGACTGCAGTCTACTCTGTTATTTAACCCATACGTTAGTGAGGGTAATATATAGATAATTTTGTGCTTTTCCCAAGGCGATTTAAGCGAAAACAAATGCAACATACTAAGCTGGAATTTACAGTGGGTTTGCCACTTTGAATTATTGTGGGGATAAACGTTCTGTTATCCATAACGAAAGCGGTACAGAACAAATTTTCAATGTTTGTTGAGTAGCAAGTGTTATTAATTAAAGAATTGTTGCCTGCATTGCAAAACGAACATTCGAAAATCCTTGTTTTCGCCAAGCCTTCGAACTTTTAAATACGAGCAGGCAGAGTGGACACGTTAGATGAAAGCCAAAGGCAAGCAGAGGATAAAGTGACTGGAAAATATCCTAGAATGAACTGGGTGAGGATGAAGAAAGCGGAGGGACTGTAAGAACCGAGAGAGAATCTCATCATATTTGATTTTGTCAAGAAGTAGACTTCCTGGAGGAGTAGGGTGGCGATCCTAGCATGCGGTACCTTTGGAAAGTGCCTGAAAACCTGTGAGCCAAATTGGATAGACGGAACCCTTGCTGTGCTATAACAAAATCACAAGTCATCGTGACCGTGATTAGAGTGTGATGATTGTTGATCGCACTAGATAACAGGCTCTCTTCCATAAACTGTAACTAAGGTCTGCTCAATATAGTTGCAGTATAAACCCCAGGTGGGCTTTGTGGGTGTTGAACAGACACATATGTGCCTGAGCGAGCGTCTGCAATAGGGATTGGCTAATAGACGGGTATCCTCAAATACGAGTGGCCAGCTATTATCTATATATATATGCATCTATCTATCTAGTGAGTTGGATTAAAAGTTCGTAGTATTTTTTCAATGGAGGGGGGTTAAATTACATGTAAAATATAACTACATTTTAAGCATAACTGAAATTTATGATTTCTTTAGAGTGGGGGGCATTCTAGTTAGAGGTTTACCTTAAGGGGTAGTTTATATGAATAGGGGGTGAAGACAGTGGTTGACTCTAGTCTTTAACAGGTAAAGATTTTAGTGAAAATAACACTGACATCTCATATGTTGAAATACGAAAGAGTAAAATAAAATCTGCGTTGACTTCAACCACTGCCTCTAGACGACTTCTGAATCACCTTCAACTCTTCTGGAATATCTCCTTGTTTAAGTTGGTGAATGCTGCCATAATCCTTACCATCAGCTTGTCTTTGGTGTTACAAGGAGTTTTGTTGGCACTCAACTCTACCCCACACATAATAATCAAGGGGTTTGCAGTCTGGGGAGTTAGGTGGCAAGGTGTAAGAAGTTATCTGAACGCAGAACTTGTCTGGCAGCTATGACTGGTTTCTCTTGTGTACAGAGTCCTGTTACCAGACATAAGGTCTTGCAGCAGCCACTATTTTGACCCAGGGCAGTACTACCTGCTCAAGGAACTTGATATAGGACTCTGTGTTGGGTCTGAGACCCTCACCAACAAATTCTGAACTTATTTTCTTATCAGAACGATCAAAGTGAGTTTTCCGAGCTGTCGTACCATCGTGATCTCCATTAAATTTTTCAACTCTTTCCGAATCCTCAGCACTGTCCGCAGATTGACTCCCAAACGCTTAAAATGTTCGTAATGGAGCTTCCGCCACAAATTTCAAGCAGTATGGCATGTTGTTACGCAACTTACTCTATTATACTGTGCAGTCGACAAAATCAAAACAAACAACGCGCATGCGCGAAATTAAAAAAAATAAAAATAATTTGGCGACAATTTACTTATCGCAGGCTATATTTTCTCCATTTCTGGAGACGAAAACAATTCTGAAAAAGCAACAATAAAATAAGTGCCGTTTATGGACATGGTACAAAAACTTGGTGTATTATTCATAACTTATTCACTCAGTTCAGAAATAGAAATGTTGATTTGGAAGACTGAGAATGTTCTGTTAGTCATGTAGTTATTAAAAATAACGAAATCGAAAGTCTACTTAAAAATAAATACATGTCATACAAAACAGGACATCATAGAAGTACTCCTTATATCTAATATGAACGTTATTTGGAAACTCCTGGATATATTTATCGCTATAATGTTTGGTCGTCTGGATTATCTATGCAAATCCAACAAAAACGACGCGTATTTGATAAGAGCGATCACGTTTGATGAAGAATTGATGCTTTGCAACAATGGGGTACAATAAAGAAGCTCATAGGAAAATGAAATGTCGGTTAGTGTACGAGAAAAACTGATGCTGTATATTTGGTGGAATCAAAAGGGCAATGTCTATTACGAATCCCTTCCGCACTATCAGACGATAAATTCAAACAAATTGGACTGATAAATGGTAGAAACCAATGAAAAGCTTCCGGAATTGTGCACCCAGAAAGATTTAGCTATTAGCCAAATCTCACATGATGTTACAGACCTGACAAAAATTGGTACACATTGGCTGGGTTATCCTTCTAAGAATGATGTACTTTGCATTACCAATTACCAATTAATTCGTCTTCATAAAAATATCTTAATGTGGTGCTTGTAAAAACTAGCGATTTATTAGCTACAATGTTGGCAAGATCTGGGAGTTTAAAGTCATGAAGCTGTTTCAAAGATCGCGAAAGCTAATGGAGGAAAATAATACACATGTAATTGATAAAGCTATATACAGATATTTAAATATTGTCTTTGGTATTTGATTAAAAACGCTAACACGACATCTATCTCATTCATTTTCTTTATTTAGTACTTTCTTTTTTTACTGTGTATCTATCTGGAATGTCAGGTAGAAAAGAAAATACATCACTAGAAATGTATTTTATATCTACCTATCTATTTAGCTGGCTAGCTAAGCTATCTGCCTGTCTAAATATCTATCTATATAACTATCACAGACTGTTCATTCTCTCTCTCTCTCTCTCTCTCTCTCTCTATATATATATATATATATATATATATATATATATATAGAATATAAGGTCGAAAAGAAAATGTCTCATTAGAAGATCTATCTATCTATCTGAAATGAATCATTATTATCTATCTATCTGAAATGAATTATTACCAGAGACTGTTGATTATCTATCTATCTATCTATCTATCTATCTATCTATCTATCTATCTATCTGAGACTGTTGATTATCTATCTATCTATCTATCTATCTATCTATCTATCTATCTATCTATCTATCTATCTATCTGGAATATGTGGTGGAACAGCTAGCCCCCGTTCTGTTTTCATCTCTCTCTCTTTTAATAATGATTCATTTCTTTTTATTCTTTTCTTGCTCCACTTTTCATAAATTTCATTTCTGCATTGTTTATTATCTTCATCTTTTCTCCGAGCTTTTGGCCTTTTAAAACGATTTTCACAAAAGCTCTTAGAACGTTTTTCATGGAATCGATTCACCATTTTATCTTAAATCTGACTTCGTATAAAGAGACCCGTTTCACTTCATTCCCCCTTCGCGCCACCCCCACCCCTTCATTCAACTGCTACCTGTTGTCATTTTTTGGATTCCCTCTGTTTTCTAAATAGGAAATAAATGAATAAAAGACACAAGGATTCGCCTTTCTTTGGAAAACTTCCCTCTCCTGTTGTTTTCAGCTCGATTCTGGTTTTTGGTTTTCATTTTTTTTTCTTTTCTCCTTTCTTTGCCGCCCGAATTTTCCTCTAAGCCAAGTCTGGCCTTGATTTCATTTGATGCGAAAATCAAATTTTAAACTCAAAACCTGATCCTGTGCCCTATTGGAATCAACGGAATCAAATATTTGTTTCAATGTAAAAACCAGAATTATGAAGAATTATGAAGAAATAATAAATAAAATCCTACAAAATGCGTGAAAAAAAGTCGAAGACATTCATATAAATTTAATACAAGGAATAACAAAATATATAAATTAAAATTTAAAAGATTCACTTTTTAAAATTAAAATAAAAAGTAAACGAACACGGAATTATCCTAAATAAAACAATAAAAAATGGCAGTTGACTAAATACATTAAAAATTTAATTAAGGAGTCAAAATTTAAAATTTGGCAAAGTAAAATATGGAATAAAATTCTATCTAAAATTAAAAAAAATTTAAAAAAAAATGTAAAAGGGGAATTTTTTCCCCAAGTATCATATCTCGGTCAGAAAGACAAAAAATAAAAAAATAAATAAATGATTCTCTTTCTCTTGCAGTAAAGATTTCGTCGACCCACACACGAATTTCAAAAGCTTTTCGAAGTTCTTTGAAATCTTTCAGTGAAATGTCACGCCGTGTGGGACATTCTTGCTGAGCTAAAAAAAATCTCCAAGATTCATAATGTTATTCTGATCCAACATTTGCCGATTTCATTTTAAGAAGGAGAAGAAGGATGGTAAAGAGAGATGAGGAGGACGAGAAGAAGAAAAGCCATGAATAGAAGATCTGAGTAAATAGGTGTGGGTTGAGTAGAAGTAGTAATAGTAGTAGTAGTAGTATTACTACTACTACTACTACTACTAAGGGAGAAGAAGAACAATGAGGAGGAAAAGGAACAGGAAGACGAGGAGGACATGAAGAAGAAAAAAAGAAGCTGTGGGTAGAAAATAATTTCTGGGTAGTAGGTGTGAGTAGATTAGAAGTAGTAGTAGTAGTAGTAACAGTAGTAGTAGTAAAGGGGGCAGAGGATGACGTGAAGAAGGAGGAGAAAGAGAGGGCTGATGGGAACGCCTTTTTTTTTACTTAAGAAGATCACCCAGAATGAAACAAATATATAGAATCCCTCACAGAAGATAAGGGTAAAATAGTCGGGGTTTTCTGTAACGCACCCCTAAGTACCCGAATATTCCTGCCATGCGTTACCTTTACAAGAGACAGATCAGGACGTAAACGGAATACTACTGTTAATATATGAGCTGGAGCTGTCTAGTTTCTACTTTCTAGTCTTGATAGACTTTATAAGCGTCTAGGTAGCCTTGTGAGTGAAGAATTGTTATCCACCCTACAACCTACAAGACGAAACTTTGCAAGCCTCTCGCTACCCTATAGCTATTTCCATGGAAAATAGGCGGACGAGCTACATTTTATGTTCCACCAATTCGAACCTTAACAGCTAAGAGCCGCCATGCGACGTACACTGGGTCGTACCATCCTCATTTCTTTCGTATTCGATTAGTAAAAAGGCATTTCTACTCGAAGAGCTTCTTTCCACAAATAAACATTTTGTGGGGATGACTCCCAAGATGAAGCTGTTTTGACCGTTGCAATTATAACCACTTCATGTTTAGTTATCTTTCCCATTTCTCATCCTAATTTTTTTTTACTAATAATACATCAATGTTCTTCCGTAACTCTCTACATTGAGTGGCTCTTGGGCCTTTTATAGAGCGACCATTAGTAAATAATAAAAGAATAAAAAAAAGAAACTGTGAGAAGAAAAGAACAAATTTGTGGTAGAAGTAGGTGCGGTTTGAGTAACAGTAGTAGTAGTAGTATTAGAAGAAGAAGAAGAAGAAGAAGAAGAATGAGGAGGAGGAGGAGGAGGAAGAGGAAGAAGAAACAGAAGAATAAGGAGGAAGAAGAAGAAGAAGAAGAAGAAGAAGAAGAAGAAGAAGGATGAGGAGAAGGAGGAGGATGGGGAGGAGGAGGAGGAGGATTTTGGGAAAACGAGGAGGAGGTGGAGAAGAAGACGGTGGAAGAGGAGAAGAAGAAGAAGATGCAGAAGGCGTCGTCGTCTGTTGATTGAAATGAATA